TCACTCTGATTGGCTCCTCCGGTTTGTCGTCTGTGATGTAGACGTGTTCTCTACTCGTCTGCACGACAGAGTAACTGCAACGTTTCAAATTATTTCATAGTTAAAAAAAATAAATACATAAATCCTTTATAATGTCCATCCACATTTATACCCCCCCAACACCAAAGCAGTGGAATGAATATTAATTTAACGTGTGAGCTTGAGTTACAGCACACAGCTGCCTGTGGAAGCAGCAGTGTTTGCTTGCTGTATCTGCTCACAGCTACTGCAGACAGCCTTGGAAGAGCAGGGTGTCACCCGGGCTTTTATGTCTTATGTATTGATTTGCTCACGATTCATTTTGGTTGGTGCAACAAAATTTAATGGCCACATTTAGACAAAACTTTCTGCTGTTGGAGGACACTCTTCTTTCCTGTCAGTAACTCTCAGATCCAAAGCAGCAGGAATGTGTTTCAAAGCCTGGGCTGGTGGAAATCTATAGTCTCTGTGATGATTTCATTCAGTGGGTAAAAAGGCAGCCATCAGGTCAGCCAGCTCCTCTGTACTCAAACATCTCGTGTCAATCATCTGTATGAAGGCACACACGTCTGGTATAATCAGTCACACTGACACAAAATAAATGCTCATCTCCAAAAACAGTCCAAGTGCTGATGGATGATAGTGAGATAAGTTTTCAATACATGTGTTTAGTTTAAATGTGAAGCAGATCGACAATGAAACATCTGATCTGCTGGATTCAAATGTTTACCTCCAGTCTCTGCTGAACTACTCTCTGCTCAACCACAAGCTCCACTCAGGGTGAACTAATCGATCAGCTGCTCTGGACTGAATATTTAGTTTCTCCATCTCACAGTCTGCTCGTCAGCACACACACACACGCACACAGACACACACAGTCATCCAAGCCAAAGGAAAGGCGGAAAAGGCTCTAAAATTGTAATTAATACAATAAGCAGCAGTACAGGTTGGAAGCTCAAAGGCAATCGGGGAAATAAAAATATTACAAACGCATCCCAAATTCGATCCAATCTGAGGTGCAGTTGGAAAACAGTGTGGGATTATAATATTATCTTATGCCACGTTATGCCCCTGATTAAAGATGGTGAAATTATTATGTAGTTTTAGTTTGTATTATCCTCCTGAATTAGAAGGTGAAACTATTACAGTTATTAGACTGAGTTGTATTACATTAGACGGCTGATTCAGTGTGAATGAAGGATATTGTTTATAATGCTGAGTCATAAGAAATCCTGTTTTCAGAGTCAGGACCTTGCTGTTCTGATAGCAGAGGAGACAGAGAGCACATCACCCCCACCGTTGTTGAAGGCAGACACAACAGGGAGCCAAGGCCAGAAGTCAGGCTCGCTAGGAGTTAGAAAGAATGTGAATGTTTGGGTTTTTACGACTAGGTGGGGGCCACCAGAGGCTAGAAGAGTTTGAGTAACCCTCCACCAGTTTGAGATTTGCTGTGACCCTCTGCATGCATGTCCGGATGGTTTATGCTCTTAAAGTGTTGACTTGTATGGAGTAAAGGATTGTTGATTGAGCATTTATACACCGAGTATTGTCCTTCCTTCAGCCCAAAGATCAAAAGAATTGGGAAGATTTAACACCGCGTAGTTTAGTGGCCCCTCATTCTAAGGAGCATCCAGAGGGGGCTTCGGTAATCATGGGATTGCAGGCGAATCCTGGTTGGTTGGTCGGTCAGTGGAAAAGGATGGAGAGGGGTGGATAGAGACTGAATGCTCCGTTAGGCCTTAATGTACCTGCGTGAGAAGCGGACTGGACTTTCTCCTTGGTTTACAGGACATCATATTTGGGTTGAGTGTGTTTGTAGTTGTCTCGTGTTTGGTTGCCTAAGGTGTTGTAAAGTCTGAAAATATAATGAATATGTGATATTATGAATCCATCAGGACCCAAAAGGAGAGGGGGGGGAGCGACCTGCGGTGATACTACAAGAGCTACGATTGGGTGTCTGTTTTCGATCTTTGTTTTGATTCAAATACAGGTCCAGGTTACATCTACAGGATGATGTCGGGGAGATTATTAACCAACCATGGAACCAAAGGAAGAGTGTGAAACGAAAAATAAAGAAAGCTTCAAAAGCAAAATGGACCGAAGGCCTGTGAGAAAAACATACTCTAAGTGCTCCATGAGAGACTGGAAATAAACACGAAGAGAGCCCTGAACAGACTTGTTGAATGTCACCCCAAAAAAATAAATAAATAAAGGTTAAAGGTCAGCATAAGTGATAGAAAGTAAACACAGGCTTTCTCCACGGAAACTGCATGGCAGCATGGGATTGACAAATACAGTTATGAATACTAATCGCATGTTGTCATTTCTGGTGATTTACTAGTTGCATGGTCTTAAAATTGTTGATATGAAAAAGTCAAATTAACACTATAGAAATGATCCCCTGGAGGCTGAACCCCCCCAGAGTGGTGTTGGGTGACCTGACTTTCGAGGAGAAAATAGAAAAATAAAGGTAGAATATCAGCAGGTGAGATTTGACTGTTTGTTGTAACATACTTTGATTGGAGACCACAGCAGGTCTTATATGGAAAAAAATGGGGGTGATGGAAAATATCAGCAATATATAAGAATGGCATTCATAAGAAACAACGAAGAAGAAGAGGAGCATGCTAACAGGAGGAGGAAGAACCAGTGGGAATCAGGATGCTGCAGCCGATCCCCAGGACGGTGCGCCTAAGTGTTAAGGAAAAACTGAGTCATAACTCCTAAATACCCAACCACAACGAACTGTAACACTCACACTAAAACCACTTTTGTGAAAAATGTCGTCAAACTTGTGGGGATTTTGGTTCCCACAAGTATAACAAACTTCCAATTTATGGTCCCCACAAAGACATCTAAACACACACACACACACACACACACACACACACACACACACAGATGCAATATAAAAATTCTCAAATTTGATTTGTTAGAAATTTGTGCCAACCAATCAGACCTCAGAGCCACAGACAGGGAGACACTGTGTCCTGTGGGACTTGTCTCGTCATCAGCAGGTTCTGACCTTTTCACAGGCTTCCTAACATCCCTCACATCTTAGTTTGCAGGTGAACATTGATTCTGATGACAGTTTCGTTGCACTGTGTGGACATGTCAGTGACGTGTGCAGTTACCAGAGGAAACACAAACACATCTAATACTTGCTCTGCAGCACAGAGGGAGGAGGGCTAACAACCATTGCTACTGATTGTTCAGCAGTTATATCAAGTCTAAGCAGCAGCCTGTGTTATTGTACATTTACAGGAACAAACATCAGCTATTAAAGCCAGACTGGCGAACATGGCTAACTTCTTTGATGGTCGACCCACCAAAGAAGAACGTACCTCACAGGTATAAATGGACCTGTGAGATATGCTCGTATAGATATTTCACAGCTCATCAGCTGTGTCTGCTTGTCAGAGCTCTTCAGTGATAAGTCATTGTGCGAGGTGAGTGCAGGCAGGCTGACATCTACTTACAGTCACATAAAAAAGTGAGTGGACATTACTGAGCTCAGCCTGTGGATCCACACGCCTGCGTGTGAGGCTCTAATCGCTGTGGTGTGTCCTGGAGTCGAAGGAGCTTGGAAAGAAAAGCGTCTGGACTTCTTTGAAGCTTCTGGGATGAAGGTGAAACGTCTTCAAGCAACTTAAAGAAGTCCAGACGCTTTTCTTTGCAAGCTCCTTCGACTACGATGAGCTGGATGACTGAGAACCTTCACAGACACATGTCCTGGAGTCTGTGCCACCGGTCGGTGGAGAGTCCGTCTCCGATTGCGCTCGGCTGCCGGGCAGAGCCTTCTGCTCCGAGTGCCGCCTAGAGGCCAGTTTATACAGCCCAGCAAAGAGGAAGATCGCAGAAATGACAGCAAAGTAGGCACCGTAGATGAAGAACTAAGGAAGGAAACAAAGAAGCGATCACATCTACAGTGTGGAAGCTAAATAAGCACAACACAAGTTCTACGTTTGTTCTATTTCCTCACCTGAGTGAAGACTTTAAGGCCCAGGACAGACGAGTCCACCACCACCAGCGTGAGCAGAGACTGCAGCAGCAGAGCCACGAAGGAGTTCACTCCAAACACCAGCGCATACCGCTGCATGTTCAGGCTGGCCGCGACCTGATACCTGAGGGAGACACGTGAGTAACACAGGTGAACGTGAACAGATGAGCAGTCACAGCGTGTGAGCAGTGACAGGAAGTCAGATGGAGAACAGAGTGTCCTCGTGTTTGCACACATGCACTTCTACAGTTCAGCAGTGTTCCCACGCATTCAGCTCAATGTGCTCCTTATTTAAAAAAAAAAAACAATCTTCCCGTGTCCTGTTAATCCCTCACATGGATTCAATCTCTGCTTTTAAATCTCCAGTAAGCTGTGCCACAACTGATCCATGGAATAACACTAATGTTTGCATTTCTGCCTGAATGAGCCATGGAAGAGCTGCTGTCTCGGCCTGGCTTGACTTCTGGATCATCGTCGCGCGTGCACTGGACATCGATACAGGATATCATGATACAGGATATCATGATACAGGATATCATGTGGCGGGTGATTGGGTACTCACGTGGCCACAGTGATGAGCAGCATGTAAGTGGTTCTAAAGAGAACGTAGAAGCTGTATGACAGCCAGATGTTTCCCGTGTTCATGACAAACAC